TTAAATCATGTCAAATCCTAAACGACCTAGGACATTGTCTAGTAGCTCAAGTCAAAATCGACCTCTTATTCCTCCACCCAATCCAAATAACCTAAATATGACAATTATGAACTCTTGTTTCAAAGTACCTGGTTGTGGACAAGATCTATACCATATGTACCATACTTGTTTTGAGTCATACAAAATCTGGGAAGAGCGTATCCTTTCGATCCAAGCTATAGAAGATATGGACTTCCAACATCTTCCTACTCTTAAATCCTAGAAGTTTGATAAACTCTTTAAACTCAAACCTTTGGTTTATCATCAACTAGTCCACATTTTTCTATTTCAATGTGGTATGTGTCCAAAACGAGCGCCAATCTGAAACTATAGGAATTCGATCCTATCTTTTAGGACAATTCATTTTTATTGACTCAGGCACAATTGCTACCCATTTTGAACTAGATAACTCAGGTTTAATGAAAAAGAGACTGTGGATTCACCCTATAAGTCTAAGGATAGTGAGAGTACCCTAAGAACTCATCGTGATAGATTCCTTCATTATTTGATCTCTTGGTGGTTTAGACCATCCGGAGGTAGGTACTCCTCCCTTAGGAACATAAATATATGGTGGATATATTGTATCCAACATAAAGAGAAGATTAATCTGCCACAGATCATCTTTAGTGAGTTTCCATAAACATTGTTCCTTCTAAGAATATATAAACCTTGGTTTATGGTTGTCTCCTTAGTAATTTGTTTATCAAACTCGGTCTTAGGGTCAATGGGTTTATTGTACCGAACTCATAACTTTTAATTGTGAAACATTTTGATGTTCATGGATTGTTTTATTTTGGGTGTTTGAATTTGTTGGATAATTGGATATTTGAACTTACGTGCTTATATATTTGGTTTGTTTTTCACTTTCATTTTGAGCTTAATGTTTATTTTTGCATCATTTACATATTAGTTGCATTATGACCAATTTTTTCCATTTCACATTGTTTATGAATATTGAATTATGGAACTAATGGCTAATCTTTCTCTTGATTATGATCTTAGCAGCTTACGCTATATTTAGTTATCAATTGGCTAATTGATTTTCAAAAACTTGTTTAAAATCTTTTAAAGGTCTTTTTGATTTAACAAAAAGGGGGAGAAATATTAAAGCGTTTTTAAAGGGGAGAAGTGTTAGAGTAAGGGGGAGTAATTTCAAAACTTGATTTCAAAATCTTAAAATTACTAAAATGTTTTGTTATATCAAAAAGATGGAGATTGTTGAAAACATTTTGATATTTCGATATAACAAATTAAGTTAAATGAATTTTAAGATTTTCCAAAAGATTTTTTGAGTATATTCGATATAATTATTCGAATATCAAAATATTACTCCAAATCTTTCAAATGTCATTTTTAATCCTTACTCAAGTGTAAAATTAAGTTTTAATCTTAAAATAATTTCAAAACAATTTTACAAAGTATTTCGAACTGTTTCAAACCCAAAAATTCCAGATTGTCCAGAGGGAACCGATTCCCCCCTGAATGGTTTGGCTCCGAGAAAACAGAATGCTCGGAGGGAACCGATTCCCCCCCAAGGGGGTACCGATTCCCCCCTATTCAACGGTCGAAATATTTGAATTTTACACTTAGGGAACCGATTCCCTATAAGGGGGTACCAATTCCCCCCACGCTCCAAGATGTTTTATTAATGGTTTTCACACTTAAATGGCTCCATTGACTCCACTAATCATCCCCAACGTTCAGAATCAATTGAGGGAGTATTTAAACAAGTTCTGAAGCCTTTGATCAAGAAGAAATCATAGAGAAACAAGAAAGAAAGCATCAAACACCAAGTTTGTGCAAATCAAGCCAATTTTCCTTTCAATATTCATTTTGCTTTCAAGAACACCATTTGTGCTCATTTGTAATTATTTTTTAGTGTTCTTTTCTTGTTCTATAATTGTGCAAACATCTTATCTTGTGAGGTTTTCCTTGTAAGTTTGCAAATTTGTGTATTTCTCTTTGAAAAAGAGTGTGCTCAAGAATTTGAGGTATAATTCTTGAGGGAGTTGTAAGGTTACTCTTTATCCTCAAAAGAAAGAACAAATTAGTGAATTTGTTGGAAAATCCTTAGTGTGGATAGCTAAGGTAGTGGACGTAGACTTTGGTTGAGAAAGTCGAACCACTCTAAATCGTTGTGCAAATATTTTCAATTTTCTGCAAAAGCTTCCACCAAAATTTTAATTGCCAATTCACCCCCCTCTTGGCCATTTCCATCAATCGATTAACTCAACACTATCCCTATGATGAATAATGTGCATGCCTAGGATGAGCTTAAGTGCTCTTAATAAATTCATAGCTCAGGCTTTGGGTGGTCTTAGTGAGAAAGACTTGATGAATTTACCAATTTTTGCTGAATATCTATTCTTAATAAGTTCATAACCCATAGTGAGTGGGTAGTCCTAAATGAGAAGGAAATAATGAACTTATCGACAGAAAGGTTGAGTTTGTTAAACTCTTAATAAATTCAAATCCAAGAATTTGGATGGTTCTAGTGAGAATGACTCTTTGAATTTACCGATAAATGAGGTTGGATATTTATTCTTAATGACTTCTTAGCCCAGAGTTTGGGTGGTTCATTAATAATGAACTTGAAGAAAGTCACCATATCCTTTGTGAGGTTGGGCTATTATAAAAGCTCTTAATTATTTCATATCTCTGTTAAGGGTCGAGATAAACTTGATGAAATAACCTATGTAAGTGAGAAGGGTTAGCCGCCTTCTATGAAAAATGTTGGGCCATTTTTACTTACTAGAATCCTGAGGTAAGATGGCCAAATATATACTTTTGTATATATATATCTTACACATCGAGGACTCATGTGGATGAAGGGGTTAGTTGTGTGTTATGAGTTTACCCCCATCTTAGAAAGTTCCAGACTAGTTTCACTTATCTAAGAGAAGGATTGCTCATCATCACTACGTACTAGTTCCAGATACGTTCACTAGTGTATAAGCAACTAATCTCGCTATTGCTCTTCTGGAAAGTTTGTTTTCGAGTTTCAGAAGATTTCTTTCACATTAGTGAGGGAATGTTGGTAATGCTCAATCCCACATAGTATTGGAAACACTATTGGGATTGGAAACACTATTGGGAATGGGTATTTAAGGTTTGGATTTCCCACTTCCTTGTTTAGTGAAAGAGAACAAGGGGGACTCTCGAGCACCGCCGCAGTCGCCATCCGTCTCATCTCAGCTCGACACGGCACGGGTCGGCTTGACTCGGATCGTGGTCGAGGTCGAGGTCGAGGTCGTAGTCATGGTCGTGGTAATACGTGTCTTCGACACGTTCGTGCATATACTATCTTTTTAGAGAAAATTCTTGAGGAATTTCTCTTTGAAAGAAACAAATGGAAAAATGTGAAAGATTTCAACTGATATTTATATATTTATAGGCTGTTGAGGACTGTTTAAATTCAAATGATAACAGTTGATTTATGAGTTATCAGAAATTAAACAGTTTTTTTTAATTAAATCAAAAACGTTAAGATGTATCTGGACTGATTTCCAGCTTTGTACAAAGGGGACAAGCTGTTAATATTAGGAGCTACAATGATTTAATTTCACGAGTTACAGTAGTTATAACAGCTGAATAATGATGCAATGAACCTGGACTATTTCTGAGTCAGATTCATCTAGACGTTTCAGTTGTTACAAAGAAGGGTTATAATCCTGATTTTATATGGATGATTTTAACTCTATTTCTAGCCTATAAATAGAGAGTTGAATTCAGCATCTCAACTCACTCTCAACATTCACAATTCACTCTCAAAGTGTTTTCTACATTTGTTTTATGTGTGCTTTACGATCAGAAGTGCAATACCACCAGCAGTCCACTCCGGTTTCGGGTGTACGGAATTCAGAGCGACCGTGTTAACCTCGAGGGACGGTCTGCCTACTATAGCGATTACACACATCGGGACGAATTTGTTTCTAAGGCAGTGGTTTTATCACGACACGGTTTACGAATCTGTTCCTTTTACATTATTGTTTATCTTTCCTGTCAGTGCTAACGGTGTGCTTTTATAGTCCATATTTCCAACAGGACACTGGTATCACAAACCTCTTCTGGTTTTCTCTGACATAAACTGCAAAGTAACCCTTGGGAATTTTCTTAGACCTAATAACACGCGGTAGGCGGTATGCGGTATGCAGATAGCCATGTTTATATGCTTCTAAAGGGAAGAAATGGAAGATCTCATAAAGCAAATTCATTTTTTAAGGATAGAGTCGAGTTTGGATTTAAGGTAAAAAAAAAAAAGTTTTAATCTGATATAATATTATAATTATCTCATATGTTTAAGGATAATTACAATAATATCCTTCTTTTTCAATTAAGTCCTTACTTTGTCGAATTAAAATGAATCTTACAATATATATTTATACCGTGTCAAGTGCAGATCAAATGTGAATTTTCACCTACAAATTGGATCGATTATTGAGTTAAATATAATTTTTCTAAATTTAAGTCGACAGAGTTTACTTTTTGGATCAGATAATATGACTAGTCCTCGTCCGAACCCAAGTGGTTGCATTTTATCAAGGTTGCTGTCTATGCTTAGCTGCAATCAAATTGTTCCATGGGGAGAACCACAATACTAAGCCGTACAACTCACCAGATTTCTGGTTTTCATCGTATTGTTAAAAGTTATTTTTCCATTAGATTTGACAAATTAATAACCATGAAAAAAATATTTACAGACAATGAAATCAATGCCCATAAACTCAATAAAAAGGATGCGAATGAAAGGTTCAGTATACAATTGAGGAATGAAAAACTAAAATTTTAAAGCAAACTAAGAGCGCAGGATGAAGATGAAGATGAAGATGAAGATGGATTTTCTCCATCAAGTAATTTTTCCATGCTAGATTATACTTCTTGATCTGAACAAGAAATAGGCGCACTCTAAACCAGTGTCAGGATTTCTTATTCTACATGGTTTTTGTAAACCATAAATCAACAGTCTGAAATGAAACATAACCCAACTGATAGAACAAACCGGATAAACCAAATCTTCTTATGTTAATACATGTCAGCTTAATGCTTACATTCCGATTCCAATATAATTATCTACTACAAATAAGTAAAAGCTATGACTACATATCATATATGATTGTTTTTGCTATATATTTTACTTTTATTCCGAGATGGATATTATATCCAACGCAGGTTGAACTTTACCACAACCATGAAACTCCAAACTAGTTGAACTCGGAGACGAAAACCAAATGAATGGATGCAGATGAAGAAACTAACAATACAGTGAGATTCACGCTGTGACTTTCCAACTCTTTGAGCAGTCACGAGCTACTGATTCGACTCTGATTTAGTCATTGTGTTCCCGTTCTGCTGTTGGGATTGCTGCTGCTGCTTCTGGAACTGATGGCCAATGTTAAGCTGGGAAGACTGCTGCTGCTGGTGTAGCTGGAACATCTGGTGGTTAGGAAGTCGCTGCAAGACCATACCCTTAGTCGGATCAGCTTCACTGCCTAGCTCTCGAGTAGCAAGCTTTAACCGCTGGACCTCCGCGGTTAATGTTTCGTTTAGAGCTGCACAAATGCAACACAATAAGATAAATATTGACCGAACATCTTAATAGAGTTTTACAAACAAGTATAATAACCATTGACGATTTCACTTCCCAGTTCCCCTCTTCGAAATTTTTTCTATCAACGACAATAACATTAAGTATGATAGAGGAGGCTCAGGCAAAGAAATATAATGCAGTAAGTTGATCCCAAAATCAAACAGCAATGGAGTAACAACAAAGGATTAAAAGTAAGAACCATACATTTCCTATAAAAGATAAGAATATCTTATATACTAGCACACGCATAAATATGTCTTAAGAATCTCTTATTCTCAATGTCACTGTAAAAGTAGAAGATGAATATTTGCAGTATTACGAAAAACAGTAAATGAGATACTACGACTTGAATAAAGCATACTAATCCAAGACCTAAATTGCCATTGAAGAATCTAACTACTTTTTCTGTCAAAAGGAGAAGACAGAAGTTTTAAGAAAATGAAATCGGATTGTACCATCACGAAGTTGTGCCTGTTGCTCCATGGCCTGAATACGAAACTTCAACTCATTGTTCTGGTTTGTAAGGCCAACAGAATCTCTCTGCATCAATTTAAAGTTGAGGATAAGGTAAAGAAGAATAGGAAATATAAATAACATTCTGTGTTCTAAATTATCCACCTGTAGAAGTGTTAGTTGAGCAGACAATGTGGTAGCTTCGGTCTGCAGAGTCTGAACCTTGTGCTCCAATTCTGAAATATACTGCATCTTCCTTTCTTTGGAACGGGCAGCTGACTGACGATTAGCCAAAATCCTTAAAAAGGACCAACCAATAAGTTAAGTGCAATGCTTTAGCATGATCAAAAAAAGTTATTAGACAAGAAAAGTAGGATACCTCTTTGCACGCTTTGGATCAGCCATTGCAATCTCCGCAAGCTTCTCATTTGCCATAATTTTCTTCATTTCAGCCTCACTGAACTCACCACTTCCAAGCTCCAAACTAAAGGAAGCTGAATTTCCATCAATTGAATTGCTTGGTGAGAGTTGTCCTGGACGAGTTCCGGGTGAAGGTGGTAGTTTTGGCGACTCATCACTGGAGTTCAACATCCCCATGAAACTATCCATGGAAACACTTCTATAATGTCTAGAAGAAGGAACAATGTGTCCTCCTGCACTCCTTTTGATCCCTTCCCTCTTCTCCGTAGAATTCATTCCACCTCGTGATGCACTATTCCCACTCTCGTTCACACTGCTTTCCACTTCATTATCACTGCTATCACCTCCAGTGATCTTTGTTACACTTGCTCTGCTGTCCAAATCTTCATGATTACCGTTGTTCTTATCAGAAGAGTTCAAGGAATCCATATTATCTAAATTCATATATGCAGAAAACAAATCATCCACAACTTCCCCTTCCGATTTCCACTCATCCGTTCCTTCCGCATTGCCATTGTTGCCTCTTTCCCAGCTCGTCTCCTTTTTCACCAACTGAGCTGACCTAGGCACTCCCGAATTCCCCATACAAGACAGTGATCGCTCCAAACCACCACCCCTTGATGCAACGGGCGGAGGCGGAGAAGATTGCATTATGGTATTAAATCCAAATGGAATATCACTATTAGACCGCCTATGTTTATTTCGAGGAGGTAAACTCTCTCCAACCCGTGGAGTACTACCCTTGGAAAAAGGTGTGGGTGGCAACAACGAATGCGCAGCAACATCCCTATCTTCAATAGACAAATCAGTGATCTGGTCCGAAACTGCCATAAACGAAGAATCACGAGAAGGGGCAGGGCTCAAAGGGGGCAATGAATCAAAAGAAAAAAACGAATTGGGCTGCGACAAAGACCGGGAATGAGTCGGTCCCGGACTAAAACCCTGAGAACCCAATTGGTGAATCGAAGGCTGGGACATAGGGAGCTGTGAATAAGGCGAAATGGGTGGGATCTGGTTAGGGTGTGAAGGAGGGATACCAACTCTTTTATTAGTACCATCACCGCCACCACTACCATTAAAGTTTTGGCCAAAGTGAGAGAAATGCCTAGCAGACCTCATTTGATTAGTATTCAACTGAGACATCTCAAGATGATTCATTGATAAAGGTTGCTTAGGGATTGAAGATGATGATGTTCCAAATGAAGATTGAATCCTTTGCATCACATCAGTATTACTTTCTTCACTATCACCCATTTTTTTCGTGTTTTTCCTACCAATAACACGAAAAAAATATAAATATCATACCTTCTATACAAAGAAAAAAGCTCAAAAAAGATAAAACTTCAGCAAAGTCAAGCTGAACCCCATTTCAGTTCAAACCAAAACAAGCAACAATTCAATAAAATCAAATCCAGAAACAAAAAACAAAAAGAAAACAAAAGTAAAGCACAAATCAACCGAAATTAGAACAAGATAACAGTAAATGAAGATAAGCAAAGTAATCCATTGAGATCATTTAGTAGTGTGTTTCAAGTACCTTGAAAAATCTCAGCCATATTTAGCGGTAGTCTCTTTCTCTCACACATGAACACACAGAATACTTCTCCCTCTTTGTTTCTCGGAGAATAAATCATAAAATCATTAACAAATTGGTAAAATAAGAGAAAGATAAAGGTGTTGATGGTATTGTGCTTGTGTTGTCTCGCTCTAGATATTTTGACAAAAAAGAAAAGAAGAAAAAATTATGCTTTTTTGTTTTGTTTTTTTGTTCTCTCACTGTAGAAAAACGAAATAGCCCTTTTTACGGGGGAAGATTTGGAGTTTGGGAAAAAGATGGGCAGTCATGAGATGCACGTAATCTAAACCATCTTAACGCGTGAAATTTGCATTTGGGATTTGCATTTCAATTTGATTCCGACCTCATTTCACTCTTCTTTTTTTCTCATCACCTTCGTCTCCGCAGCGTATTCAGCAATTAACTCTTTTGTTTTTTTCTCTCCCTCCAAACACCCGACATTATTTATTATTTTTGTACTCCATATATTATTATAGGTTAAATGTCATTTTGGCCTTTAATATTTCATTTTATTATCATTTTGATACTTAAAGAATTTTATGTTTAATTTAATCACTAAACTTTTCAATCGATTTCTCATTACAAACAAAAAATTATATGACACTCTAGGGATGTGCTCTGTAACACATATTATATATTAAATTTGAAAAAAATGTAAGAAAATTAATTAAAAGAGCTTTTAAAATCCAAAAAAATAGCTCAATTTATTAAATAAACGATTCATGTTTTTTTGCATTGTTTTTATTTTTGAAATTTTTAAATACAACATATATATATATATATATACATTATGTGACAGTCGTACGAGTATTCATTGTCAAATAGTTAAGAATTTGTTATTATCCTTGAGGTCTCGGAGTTCGAGCATCGCATACACCAAGGGTATGAACGTTTATTGTCAAATGGTTGAGAGTTACATTTGAGCATATACTACATTTTACTCACGATATTTATGGGAAAAAATTACTATGCGTCACATGATACAATTGGAGTCGAAATAAAATTTAACTCTATTTAGGCATAATGTCAATAAATACAAAAGGTTAACACTTCATAATAGAGGCCTTTTTACCCTTATAAAACATCCATATTTAAAATACTCTAGAAAAGAATAAGGGTTAAAGTGATTATTTAGTTAATGTTATAGGTCTTTTTGTCCTAAAATATAACGCTGAGACCAAATTAATGCTTTTAAAAAATAAAGATAAAAATGATAATTTTGATAAATATTAAAGGTTAATTTTAACATTATATATATCATTTACCACTGAGAAAAAGATAAAAAGTAATATAAAAAGGTATAAGTATTAAACTCAAAATTTATAATTATAAAATATTACTTTTATTTTTTATTTTAATTTACTTCTTTAATAAATAAGTTACAAGTTTTTTGGATCATCAAACAAAATTCACTTCATAAAAACTAAACAAATAATAATGACAATATGCAAAATGGCTTGGAATTTAGGTCAATAAAAATGAAAAATCCTTAAAATGTTTTTATGCTACTTTCTTACACTTGTGTTAATTAGTCCCCAAACTCAATTCAATGAACTTTTTTTTAACCAATATCCGATCTATTGACCGACTAATCCAGATCGGGTATTACAGAGGCGAGGGAGACCCTCTCAACCCAGTTTGCTCCATTCGCAAACGTCAGGATTTGAACCCCTGACCTTGTTTAAGGGACCTAGTGCCTCATCCCACTAGATCAACATGTTGTTTAGTTGTTGGTAATGAACCTCTTTGATTTGCTAGCTTCGTAAACAATTTTGATGGCTTATTCTTTCCACAAATTTGGTAATTGGGATTTCTTCAAATTTGGGCATGGCAGCTTACGTCCTGATAAATTAAGCCCCAATATTTCTTAAATGTTACTCATACGGCCAAGGAAAGTAAATAGTTCTCTTTTTAATCCTTATCATCATTGTCAATTCAAATTATCTCAATTAGCTCCAATATCTCTTTATGTTCAATTTTTTTTGCATAATTATATTAAATAAACTAAAATATGAATACAAAACTAATTCAAATACAAAATATTAGATTTTATTGTAGGACTCGCAACACCTTTAAATCTTTGCAATTAGAAATATCTTATTCTAACCAAACGTGGAATCCAAGGTTAGTGGACTTTTAGTTGCCTAATTGTCTTTGACTAAATTACAGTGGTAAGCAAATCATACGAATTGCTTGTCTCCCAAGTTAAAATTCTTTAGACATTCATCTTAGTCTTTTCCGAATTGTTTAGGGAAAAAAAAATCAAATGGGAGATTTTATACGTTTTCTCGAACAGCAAAGCCAGTCAAAAATATTTGATTGTTTTTCTTTAGATAAAACTCTACAGTTACTATCTAAATTTATTTAATTATATTTTATTTTTAGAGTAGTCTAATTATATTTTATAATAATCAATTAAGAAACTTTAAATAGGGGTGTTGAAACGGGTAATTCGATTAACCGATCGAACCGATTTAACCGACCGAACCGAATTACCCAAATGTCATTAATCGATTTTTTTCACCCTTAATCGTTAATCGAATCAAACTTTTTATTAAAAAAATTAATTGAACCGAACTAAGTTCGGTTAATTGACCGGTTAACCGAATTAACCCATTTTACCGAAATTTATAAATAATATATATTAAATATTAAATATTTTTTGTTTATTCGGTTAATTTGGTCGGTTAATTCAGTAAAAACAAGTTAAAACTCTCATAAAGCTAAATAATATATATATATATATAATATATTAAATATTTAATAATTCGGTTAATTAAACGATTTCGAACCAAATTAACGAAACCAAAATTTAAAAAAAAAACCCCATTAACTATTAACTGACCAAACCCAAAATTAACCAACCGATTAACCGACCGAAATTTTGGTTCAGTCGGTTAATTTGATTTTAACCCAACAATGAACACCCCTAACTTTAAAGACTAAAATATAGTGAAGAATTTAGGGTAAACTACTTTAAATAGCACTCACCTTTAAGTTCAAGCTAAAGAATGTCACTGACGTTTTAATTTTGTTAATTTTATCACTGATGTTTATATTTCACTGTAATTATGTCACTCCGCTCCGCCATTAATGGCTTAACGGCACGATGACATGGCATCTTTGTGCCTTGACGGTTTTGATGTGGCTCTCTTACCAAAACGACGTCAATTTTATCACTAACGTTTATGTTTCACTGTAATTATGCCACCCCACCATTAATGGCTTAACGGCACGATGACATGGCATCTTCATGAAACCGCCGAACTAACTTAATAACCTGGTATATTCTTAACCGAACTAATATATCTTTTAAATTGTAGTTGTATATATATATATATATCTCTCAACTGATTTGGTTAATTTATTCTTGATTTTTTCTGTTGTTGCATTGTGATTATCAGATAAAAGAACATAAAGTGATTTGTTTATACGGAGGTGAGAAAATGGAAAGGATTGAAAGTTTCGCTTTCGTAACGAAAGGGGTTGTGGACGCCCTCAAAATCAGGTTAGAGATGGTTTATGTCGGCAAGAAAAATGCCGAGGAACGTGTGAAGAAGATTACTACTTTGATCAACGAGAAGCAGATCAACCACGCCTGGCAAGATGTCAGCGTGTGGTTCTTCTGGAACTGGATTGAGAGCATGTTGTACTCCAAGACCCAACATGGAAAAATCGACGAAACGGATGTGATAAAGCAGGAAATGATGACGATACTCGGGTACGACGGTAGCGAAGAACACGAATGGGCGGTCTTCTTTTTCGGATCGACTGAAATGGTGAGAGCCAATGGACAGAAGATGCTTAGCAGCATGCAGAAGTTTGATCAATGGGAAGTATTTGTCGGGCAAATAGGATTTGTATCGGCACTCCGTAAGCATCTCGAAGGGATTACCGACGACCATCATTGCACTCGACTTATACTACCGGAAATCATGACGGGAATTTTAGAGAGTGTATTTTTTTTGGATAATTCATCAATTTTATTACCCAAGGAAGCATAGAATGCTACAAAAATACCGATCACAAGACATTATATACAAGGTACAGACAAAAGAGTCGATCGGTTTTAATCAAAACCCCAAGAAAAACTGAGGTTAAAGTTAACTCTTTCAATCATATTAATGTTCTTCCCCCTAAGTTTGATTCCTATACATTCTTTGATGCAAGTTAGGAGGTCGTCATTAGTTCGAAAGCATCCTTTAAATATTCTTCTATTGCGTTCTTCCCACAGAAAATATATAGAAGCACCCCATGCGAGCTTAAGGATGGTAGACAAAAGAGACTTTTCTTTCCAAGAACTATGAGCCCAAACAAGCAAATCCTCCATGATGAGCAGTATTTCTTGATGCTGCAAAGTAGTAGAATTTTGCTCCTAAAAAATGAAACAGTAGAGCAGTCGAAGAACAAGTGATTCCTAGATTCCATTGCATTGTTGTAAAGCACACAATTCTCTTCAGTGGTGATCCCCATACGCTGCAGTCGGTCACGTGTTGGCAATCGATCGAGTATTTCCATCCAATCAATTAGACTGTGCTTGGGAATATACTATGAAAACAATATCAGTGAATGCCAGGGAACCTTGTTTTTCTTCACCCTAATCTCTTACCAAAAATCTTTAATGGTAAATGCACCATTCGATATAGGGGAGATAGCTTCACTGCGTAATTTAAGAATACGGTTGAAACTCCAACTAAAACTTGTTTTTCTTTCCATTTACCACAGATCACTGTCCTTAATAACATAGGCATGGATCCAAGCAATCCATAATGATCCCTCTCCAGCCAATAAATTCCTCATGAGCTTGATCATGCAAGCTTTATTCCAAATTTTGAGATTTTTCAGACCAAGACCACCCTCAGATTTTAATTGACAGATTTTTGCCCAGCTAAATCTTGCTCCTGTAGCTAATTTATCATAGCCTTTCTAGAAGAACCTAGAGCAAAACTGTTCAATCTTGCTGATTATTGCTTGAGGAAGAGAAAGTTGCTTACACCAGTAATTAGCAATACTAAACAGGACTGTTCGGATAAGTTCTAGTCTTCCAGCATAAGTCAGATTTTTACGAGACCAAAGAGAAAGTCTTGCTTTAATATTTTCAATAAGAGAATCACAGTCTTTCTTAGAAAGTTTACGAGTAGTCAATGAGATTCCAAGGTATCTAACTGGTAAATGATCGTAAGTGAACCCAGTAGCTTGTTTAATATACTCAACAGTATTGAATGAAATTCCAGCAGTGAAGAAAGTACATTTAGCAGCATTTAAGTTCAGACCGGACTCTCATAGAAACTTTCAAGAATAGTAATGACACCAATTACTGACTCAACATTACCCTTACAGAAGATTAACAAGTCGTCAGAAAAGGATAAATGGGTGAGCCCTACTTTTTTATATTTAGGATGGTAGCTATAAAGACCTCTTACAGCAGCCATATTAAACATATAAGAGAGAATATTCATTGAAAGAACAAAGAGGATGGGTGAAAGAGGGTTACCTTGCCTTATACCTTTTGCTCCCTTGAAGTATCCAATTAGACTTCCATTGAAGGAGATTGAGAATCTAGCTTGTGTGAAGCAAACTTCAATTCAGTCAATAAATCTTTGAGGAAGGTCCAATGCTTTAAGTACAGCAGAAAGAAAGCCCCAATGAAGAGTGTCAAATACCTTTTGAAGGTCGATTTTCAAAGAACGTCTTGGGGAAATGACTTTTCTTCCATAACCTTTAACTATTTCTTGTGCAAGAAGGGTGTTGTCAACAATGCTTCTTCCTTTAATGAAAGCAGTTTGATTTAAAGAAACCATTCCCAGGATAAGAGTGGTCAGTCTCTTGACTAAAATCTTGGTTATAGTCTTGTAAATGACTGAACATCAGGATATTGGTCTGAAATCTTTGATCTTACTTGGGTTTGGGACTTTAGGGATAAGGGCAAGAGTGGTAGCATTGAAAGCAGGAAGCATTTTGGATTGCTGGAAAAAATATTTGATTGCTCCTACTACATCCTCACCAACAATGGCCCATGTCTTTTTGAAGAACAGATGAGTTTATCCATCTGACCCCGAGGCTTTGTCATTGCCCTGTTCAAAGATAACTTCTTTGATTTCTTTAGTGGTGACATCTTTGGTGAGATTAGATGAATGCTCATGAGGCAGAGAATAATTAAGAATGTCTTTCAAGAATTTATAATCACATCCTTTGACTTTAGAATCAACACTCTCAATAAGATTCTTATAGAAAACAACCACTTCTGAGGCCATATCATCGAAGGATTCTAATCTTAATCATTTATCATTAATGAGTATTCGGATAGTTTCCTTCTTGTTCTTAACAATAACTGCAGAATGGAAGAATTTGGAGCATTTTTCCCCTTCTTTGATCCATTGAATCTTGGCTTTTTTTTCAAGAACAATAGCTCTGCTTCTTCAAGGTTGAGTAGGTCTTTTTGAACCTGAAGCTCTTTGTCAATAGTATCAGCTCCATTTAAAGAGAGAATTTGATGATGTTCCAATTCAATTTTCTTAACCTTGACTCGGGTGGATAATTCGTTATAACATGAACTATTTAAGTTCCTAAGACTTGTCTTAAGGCGCTTGAGTTTGAGAAACAAGGTTAACATAGGATTACCGAAGACATTAGAATTCCAGGATTGTTCAACAGTACTCAAGAAAGTAGGATGGAGGGTCCATAAATTAAAGAACTTAAAAGGTTTGGGGCGATTAATAGGAGTATTTTTGGATAACCATGCAATTGACATGCAATGATCGGAGACTCCTGGTGCTAGGAATTCAACAACGGAATTTTAGAAAGCAGCAGCCCAATTAGCATTAATAAGAACTCTGTCTAACTTCCTAGCAAGGTAGGAATCGGATTGCTTGTTACTCCAGGTAAAAACATGGCCAATGTAGGGATGATCATGGAGGTCAAGCTCTTGAAAAACATCTTGGAATTCTTTTATTTCTGGAGTGGAAAGAAGACATAAGAGTTCATGGTCAGAAGTTTCATAAGGGTGTAATGTTATGTTGAAATCACTACCTAGCATCCAGGGAAGGTGGCCAATGTTTCTTTCCAGGGTAAGAAGTTGCTGCCACTGTCTTCGAATGATGTTATCATTACTTCCATAAACAGCAGATAAATCAAAAGGGGTTCCTAAGTAAGAACCAGTAGCAGTGATGATCTGATCAGTAGCTTGAAGAATAGATAATTCTATATTTTTCTTCTAGAGTATCCAGACTCTCCCATTGACAGCATAATCATAATTCGAACTAACATACCAATTTGATAATTTTGAGTCAAAAATGAATATGGATTTTTCCTCTTTGACTCTAGTTTCCAGCAGGCATAATATGTCTACTTTATTCTGAGTAGCTCTATGAATTACCTTATCTTGCTTCAGAGGATTATTGAATCCTCTAACGTTCCAGAAGCCTACAATCATTGTGAAGGAGAGCCTCGAGAGGGACCTGCACCCCCAGCTACTGAGCTTTTAACTTTTTTCAGTTTGGTATTCTTTTTCAGTTTGAGTTCTTTAACTAGTTCTGCTACTCCCTTGGATGCAATTATGCTTGTTCTTTGAGGCACTTCCAGGTTTGTAGAATTTTCGTCAACGGAGTTAAGAAGTTCATATCTATTACTTGAGCCAACAAAAGAGGCTTTTTCTTTGGCTGGCCGTCCTCGAGTTTTTTAGGGAGTGAGTTCTGGTTACCAATAGAATCCTCTTTAGTTGAAGAGATCGGCTCCGAGGAATTAGTATATGTTACAGTTTTCTTTCCAGGACTATCATAAGGAGGATCTGAAGTTACTGCATTTGAATCTACATAAATTGGTTCAGCTACAGCTTCATTCTTTTGAGTATCTTCAATAGAAATTTCAGAAGTGGCAAGTTCATGAGTCTTATCAGATCCTTCTAAGGATTGATTAATGATAGAATCTGTTTTTTCTTCCAAACTTGTACTAAGCTGGGATTAGAGGAATTTTTAATCAGCCAGTTCTTTTCATTATGGCCAAATTTTCTGCAATTCCTATATCTAGAAGGCAGCCAAGGAACTTCAATGAAAACCGAAGTGGTAACATTATCTTTAAGAACAACATCAATAGATTTTGGAATGTCGTCATCAACACTAACTTCCACACAATTGTTTTGCAAATTCTAGTCTAGTTTTGGAAGCTATTACAGAATCCATAGATATAGGAACACCAATACCACTTGCTATATAACTTAGACCAGCTTGGGAGTAAAGTTCTAACGGGACATTGTAGAGATGAACCCAGATTGGTATTTTAGATAAATTAAAGTGTAGATATTTAAGACTCGGTTCCCATTTTTGGAGTATAAGGGGTTTATTGAGTATGTGCAAGGGGACATTTTCAATAACCCATTCCCTAGCTGATTCAGATGCAAAAGAAAAGATGTAGAGATTATTCCCAACTAAACTCACCTGAACTCGAGAACCTTGCAAAGCTTTTGTCCACAGAGAGTCCACAATCCGTTGCATCGTTGTAAAATTTGGTGCTAGCCCGAGGAACTGTCCCACTAAAGATAATTTCCATTCAGAAATCCTGTCTTCTAAGATCTCTGAGGGAGGATTAATTGTTGGAATACCGTCTTTGATTGATGGGGGTGAAAATTTAGGGATTGGCTTAATGAACTCCCGAAAAGTTTCCTCCAGTCCATCTGAAAGAAGGAAGGGATCTGGAAGAGAAGAGACTTTAGAAATAGGTTGCGAGGATGATAGGGTCACCGGAGACACGACAGAATTTCTCGATTCCGTTAGGCCTGCTAACGTGCACTGGAGAGGGCATTTGAAGTAGTTTGATTGAATATATTTTACTGGTTTGAAAAATTATGAGTTGAATGAAGAACATCCGAAAACACAAATCCAGAAGTTTGCAAATTTTTATAGGAAGACATTTCAGGGAGTGGTAGTCGGACAATTTTCATAGATAAAGATGTTTAGAGAAAATACCATAGATTTGGATTGATGAAGAAGATAAAGCATACAACTACAATTTAAAATATATATTAATTTTGCCAATAATATATAAAGTTATTAGTTAATTTGGTGATAGGGTGTTTAGTATTTCTACTCGAAGAGTTTTGGATTAAATCTCTTAGAAAACATTTTTTTATCAAATGATTCTAAGAAAACGATTAAGATGACTCTCTTTTTCATATAACCAAATTCATCTATGATCGAGATAAAAGAAATATTGAATGATTTTGATTGAATAAAATAAGATACGGCGAGTACCTTTTAGATTTTTATTATAATCTTGCTAAACAGACGACTAATAACACCACAAATTTATAAATAATTAAATAACAAAATAAAAATAAAGTGAAAATTCAAAAAAAATAAAAAATTGCATAAAAACATCAAAAATTTAAGATTTCAGTTAAGATATTTAATTACCTTCAGGTTTTAAAAAGAATTCATTGAATTTGAAAAGCACCTAATGAATTTAAATAAATAAGAAAGAGAGCATTACATTATACAAGTTGTAAGAAAATAACTCTTAATTTAAGATTTTGAAGAGATAAAAGTGTAGTTCTTTGAAATTAAATAAGACTCTAATTAATATAATTTTGATTTAGTAATATTATAATTAAAATTAAATTTGATAAAATTATAAAATTATTATTTTTCTCTTGACATGGGGTGGGTCATGACCTAGGTAGGCCCAGGCTTACCTTCTCTATGAATAAGACTAAGATTTTCGATGAGTTTGAACTAAAAAAAAGATAAGAAAAAATAGTTCAATGATCATTTCAATCGAATAGAAACTAAAAATTAAAGTTTTGGGTCTATAATTGTTAACCATTGGATGAACTTGAAAGTTAAAACCCAACTATATTAATCTTTTGACTAAACGAAACATTCTTACTATTGAGATTAATTGAATGTCTCTTCATTTATAAAAAAAAAATCAATATTTACAACGACTACTAATTTAAAAAATTAGAAATTTTAGGGGAATTTAACGTGTTGTGTTAAAATTTAATAATTATAATATAATTTTTAAAAGGTCAATAGCTAAAATGAAAATTTCCTAAAAGTACGAGTGTCAATGTAGTTTACCCATAGTTACTAATTCATGTGACAAGAAAATTATTGAGTTCCAAAAAGGAAATGTCTTTGCCCCATCTTTCTCCCATCACCTTACACTATGGATGAGCATGAGTCAGGTTTCGGTTACCTGATATGATCCGAAAATTTTACAACCTTCATTCGATCCGACTCGATTAGATTTTTTGAGATAAAATCTAAATTCGATTCGACATGAAATAATAAAAAATATTAATTTTATTCAATAAAAAAGTGATTTAATTGAAAAAAAATAATATATATGAGGGTATTATTGTAATTATTCTTAAATATATAAGATAAAATAATATTTTTCGGGTCGGTCAAATCGGGTATATTTTCACCCTAAACTCGAATTCGACTCGACCCGAACATCACCTTTAAAAACCTGATCTGACCCGAACCCGAATTTTTTTTAAAAAAAATCCTACCCAATTTAAAAGTATCAAGTTAAAACCTGTCAGATTCGGGTCACATACTCATCCCTACTTACACCTTTCAAAACACTAAATAATGAACCACAATTACTAAGACAAAAATAAAAAAAGTTTGGGGTCCAATAATGTTCCTTTGCATTAATTTCATTTATTATATTTTAAGTATATATATATATATACACACACTAGTAAAATAATTCATTGTACGACTTGCGGCACAAATTTTGAACTTTCATGAACCAAGTCTATCATATTATCATCATCATTATTATTATTATTTTGATAATTGGAGGGGAAAACATAGTTTAAATATTAAATAATAGGATATTAATGTTATTTAATTATTGAGATGTTATAAAAACTATAGTATTTTTAATTCTAAGAAATACATCATATATTATATTTTATGATAATTTAATCTGCATAATTGTTAATTCAAGTGTTAGTTTAAATATTACATGAATATATTAAAAGCAAGTGGATCATATATATATATATATATATATTGAGAGGTTCGAAAATTTGAATCCTAACGTTTGTGAATGAAACAAACTGAGTTGAGACGGTCGTCCTCGCTTATGCAGTACTCGATCCAGATTAATCAATCAATAGATCAGATGTTTGTTTATATCAATATATATATATATATATATATATATTGAAAGCTTAGATATTTTGTGTTAAAAAGGGAAAAAGATTTATACTTTTTAATAATATTATTTTTAACCCGTCTTTTTACAAATTATTCATATAATGAGTATAAATAGATTTAAAAGTTTGACTCTTGTATATATTAAATATATTTATATCATATATAATTGAACATTCAATGCTCAACCAAAGACAAAAATGGATGGTAGGAGGAGCCCAATCCCGGAACATATTCATGAAATAACTCCTCATTTTAAATACTTTGTTCCTTCCAAATTAAGATCTTAGCTCCGTCGTTGACAAAGACAATGGCATCAAACGCGTCTTGTTATTCAGGTGGCACGAGCCATAAAGGTAGATGGCATCATAAAGTTTGGCCGGACTGGGTTAGGGATGGCAACTCAACCCGAATCCGACGGGTTTCGACCTGATCGGGTCGGATTTTTTTTTAAAATTTTGAGTTCGGGTCGGGTCGGGTTTTTTTAAAATATACTGTTCGGGTCGGGTTTAGGGTGAAAAAAATCCGACCCGACCCGACCCGAAAAATATATATAATTTTATTCTATATATTTAGGGATAATTACAATAATATCCCTCCATATATAATTTTTTTCAATTAAGTCACTGTTTTCATTGAATAAAATTTTTTTATTATTATTTCAGGTCGGGTCGGGTCGGCTCGAGTTTTTAAGTCATATATTCGGGTCGGGTCGGGTCGGGTGAAACCTTAATTTCGTCTGATCGAGTCGGGTCACGGGTGAAAAACCCTTTCTTCTCGGGTCGGGTCGGATGACCCAAAAACCCGACCCGACCCGACCCATTGCCATCCCTAGACTGGGTGAATATATAAATACGTGAACATTACTTTTCCATGACACGTGGCGAATTTAAGGTGCATCAAGAGGAAAAGGTAGTGGAAAGCTTATCCATTAATAAGTTTGTCAATCATTAACGACTAAAGCGAAAACTACGGCTCCACTTTAACATTAGCCAATCTATTCCACTAATAATTTGACGGGAAAACGCTGTTTCCTCATGGATTCTGGAAACGGTGCCGTTTCACCCCATTAACGTGGTAAAATTGGTCCAATAAACTTGGCGGGTAAAAAATTTAGCCAATAGACCATCATAAAATTAATTTGGAACCTACATCACTTGTAATAGTGATTTGATGGTACACGTTATGTGGGCACGATAAGTTCTATTTTATTAGAATTTGTCCGACATGAGAAATTTTAATAAAAAAATATTTTTTTAAAAAATTATCATGCTAATATGACGAGTTTAAATAATAAATTATTTAAACAAACTCTTCAAATTCATCATATAAGCGTGACGAGTTCTCAACGCACTATAACATTTGTGTTAGATTCTAAATTAATTTTGAAATAACCTAATGAGTTAATTGTTTTACCCACCTAACCTATCGGGCCAATTTTGCCTATTAATGCTCTCTTGCTTGGGCCTTAACGGATGTGACTTATTTGCGAAATTATATTAAAATATATTTTTCCTTAAACTATAATTAATGAGTAATTTTTTTATGCATATAAAGTAAATTAATTAAGGAATATACAATTTTGTTTATTTAAATTTTAAAATAAAATTATAAATTATTAGTATCTCTTGGCTTTCCCACCATAGTGGATGTCCTTACGGACAATTTGGTTGAGTGCTCAAAATATTTTTGAATTAGATTTAATTTTATAAAGTTGATATTTTAAAATTCAAATGTGTGAAGGATGAAGTGAAGTTCCAATTTGTGGATTTAGGTATGGGAGCTGCATATGGGACAGCTAAGAGTGGTGTGGGTGTGGCGTCGATGGGTGTGATGAGGCCCGTGTTGGTGATGAAATCTATTGTACCGGTTGTCATGGCTGGTGTTTTGGGTATCTATGGGTTGATTATTGCTGTTATTATTAGTACCGGAATCAACCCCAAGGCCAAATCGTATTACCTTTTCGATGGTTACGCCCATCTTTCCTCGGGTCTTGCCTGTGGCCTTGCTGGTCTTTCTGCTGGAATGGCAATTGGAATTGTTGGTGATGCTGGTGTCAGGTATATGCTGACTGCATTTATATCCATGTTTTTAGCTTGGATCGGACATTTTTGTCATTGATTAGCACCAGGTGGTCTAAAGTTTTATATTTATACTTTTCATGGTTTCTTTATGCAATCATGGTGTTTGCTAGCATGGCATGCCCTTTTCTCTATTGGAGGTTTTGAAATCTAAACTGCCCTCCCCTTATCTAGGCTTGCCTTTTATTACAATGATGATGCAGGTTTTATGCCAAATGATAGATATCTGCAATTTTAGGTAATTTAAGGTATTCAGATTTTTCTTGATAATCTAAATCTATGGTTTGTGGGACTGTCTTAATCATAAAAACATTACTGATAATGTATCTAGACATGTTACAAAGATTGCATTTTCAATTACTAAGTTTCAGCGTGGACCTTAGCACTGACAAGAAAAGCATCTTAGACACTTGAGGGCAATGCCCATTTGATCAGCCCCCTGGGCATTTGCTTGGCTTTTCTGTAAGCTGATAGGCATATAAGGGTTCTAGCACCTAGATTCTGCCTTGCACAGTTTTTGAGTGTTTTATGCAGGGGTTTGGATGAAAAGAACTCTACAAATCCTTTGTTTGAAAGCGGGTCGGGTACCTGACCTGTGCCAAATATTGTGGCCTGTATCTGACCCGTGTATTTGTACTATTTAGTGGGCCGGGTACCGTACCTGTAACCTTCACCTTTTCTGGGTAACGTAGCTTCCTTTTCCCAGGCGAGTTGGGTTTTTCCGAACGCTCCCTAGTTTATGAAATAAAACGTATCCCGGTCATTTAATTTGCTTGTTTGAATTGAATGACTTCTGTAGTTTGTGAGACTCTCAATAATGACATTATTAATAGCGTATATTGACATGATACAGAGATAGCGTTCCAATTTACTAAGTTTGCTGCGACCTTCACATTGTTGCATATGTCGTAACTTGATTTATCGTTGCTGTCCAAAGTGTTATTTTTTTAATATTTCATGAAATCAAACATACGTTCGGCAAATTAATCTGTTTGTTTGAAACTTTGATTTGAAGAGCAAATGACAGCAGCCAAAATTTTTGTTAGAATGATCCTTATCCTGATCTTTGCTGAAGCTTTGGCTCTCTATGGCCTTATCGTTGGCATCGTCTTGTCTTCTCGAGCCGGTCAATCTAGAGCAGAATAAGATGCTCCTGCAGCTCCTTGGTAATCTTATATTCTTTTATTGCTTATGTCTGTTTCACCGTTACGAAAAGATTTTTCGATCGTGCTCGGTTTAAACAGAAGGCCCAGGGTTGGCATTAGTAATCTGATGAAAGAAACTACTTTTGGTAAGTTATTTAGTGGTCGCTCTTTCCTATTTATAGAAGTAGAATCGAGCTTCTCTGAATAAATTGACGGGAACCATTTTCCTTGTTTGAATGCTATATTTTCATTATATTTTGCTTTTGAAGTACGAACTTGTGATCGGAAAGTTCCAATTTTTGAGATAATGCTTATCCTTCGATACTCATGTCTAATCCTATTCACGGGTCAAGAGATCTATCTACCTCAATGGATTTGCCTTGGACTGAGCTCAAGACGTGACATTCTCTTATTTATCATTCTATTTAAGAATGGATTCAAGTGCATCCTTAACATAAGGGCACTTAAATGGGAAACCCAATTCCTTGGCTTTTACAGGAAGCACCTTCTGTCCCTCCAGAACCTGCAAAAAAGGACAAATTGAAAACTAAATGCATATGCTTTGTATCAATGTAGTCAACAAGAAAGGGCACTTACCACTGTAGCACCTTCCCCTAATACTGCTTTGAGGGCAAAGTCCGGCACCGTAAGCCATGATGGTCGGCCCATGGCATTTCCCAATTGAGAACACAACTCTGACAATCGAACCGGAGTCGGTGCAGTGCCATTTATAACACCTAATGGTGTCATTCAGGTAAAGCAAACCCGAAGATGAGCTGTTGAAATAATAAAACAGAGAACTGAATGAAAATGATAAACGACTGGGAGAAGAGAAGAAACCATGATCTAGTTGATCCACAACAATGGTTTATTCACCACAAAAACTTAAATGCATTTATGCACAGAAGATTACCTTTACAAGATGGATTGGATAAAGCTTCATGTATTAGGTTCACTATGTCATCCAAGTGAATCCAGGAAAACCTATATAAGAAACATGATCAAAACGTCGATAAGTAAAAGCGATACGAGCAGGACGAAAGATCCCTCGGCAGAGCATAAAGATGTCGAATGCGGATAGGTCAGTTCTCAGAGATGATAGCATACCATTGCTTTCCGGAACCCAAAGGTCCTCCGGTAAACATCTTGAAGAGAGGGACATTTTAGTTGCAAAGTAAATAAGTAAAGAAGGTTAACTAGATTGGCTTAGACCCCTTTTGATTTTAATCATAATAGGCATGTATCTGTGGGTAAGCAAGAGCGAAAGAAGAGCATCGGATATACCTAAAGCACCGCCATCTTCTCCGAGTACCACTCCGATGCGAATAAGAGCTAACCTGACATCTTTATCTACTTAAAGCGCTGTTCCCTCCCATTCTCTACAAACCTGAGCAAGTTGATTGCATTAGTGAAAATAGATAACAATGTCCGGTTAAGTTTATCTTTTTCGTTCTTACCTCAGCCAAGTAATCATTTCCTGATGGACTGTTCTCATTGAATACTCGTGTTTCACTCGAGCCTGAGCATTCAGGAAGAAAAGGGTGGTATTAAGAACATCAAAAGAGCCTCACAGCAGCTGAAGTCGATCATCCTAGATCAATATTTCATGAAAGTACGCCGGAAAAAATGGAAAGTAGATACAAACCATAATAACCAACAGCTGTTGCACTAACACAGTAGGTTGAACTTCTCGAGGTGAATTATTAATTAAATCTATAACCTTAACATCAAAAAAAAAGAGCAATGGAGAAACAGTTAGAGGCGACAGAATGTCATCGCTTCCAACATGCAGGTACTAGTAAATGAAAATGATAAAGGCTAACCTTTGATGTGACTCTGTTCCTGCTTTCCTTAATTTCCTTTTTAATCTGCAATACATAAAAAGGAACAAATAGCATTCAGGGATATATGAGAAGATGCAATCCTACCAATTTCAGCAGTGGTTAACAGAGACCTAATTGATCGAAAGTGTAATAGACGCTCAAAGTAGAAGTTTTCGAAGACTCAATATCTCATGCATCACTTAGACAATGTCGTTGATCAAACAATTTGTGTGTGTGTCTGTGCACAACAGGCTGACAACACTATATCCTTTGGTTGTGCAGCCATATATGATAGTAAATCATACACTATAGTTTCTTTCCTGATGGGCTAAAACGCTCTTGTCCATCTCACAACATATTACAAAATTCAGGATTATGTTTATCTGCATTTGGATTATGTTAAAAATCAATTTGCTTCTAAAAAATACTTGAAACCAATCAATAAATAATCTTCAATTATAACTATTGATACCTGCATGAAATTTTTGCACCAATCTTTTGCCTATAAAACCAGTAGCTCCCGTCACTGATACAGTCATCCGATTTGCCTACAGCAACCTATAAAGAATAAAAAAAATATCTCCAAGGAAAGTAATTGAACCAATATGACATATTTATGGCCCCTGAAAGCAGTGACGAGCGGAGTTACAAAAATTTTTTGAGACGAAAATTATCAATAGAAAATATCTAAATTATATGAGAATTTATTCGTTAGAACAAACCTTATGGGACTGAGAAGTACTACAAGAAACCCTGAACTTGCTTGTCTCCCCCACCTGAAACCAAAACACCAGAAAGAACAAACAACAGTTAGGAGTTGATCGCAGAAATAAAGTAAAGAGCGGTGAATTTGGGAGTACTCGGAAATTACAGAGAAAGAGTGAGGGACGTGAAGAGAATGAGAAATGGAACGAGTACATGAAAGAGAAGAGGGACTGCAAATCACCTCCATTTTCATGGTTTTATCTTTTTCCCGGGCAAACTTTTAAGCCGCTAGCTGATTCCTGAAAACGAAAGCTTTGTACTGTAGTGGAAGAGATAGCTTGTAGTGTTTTTGTAGAGTAGAACAAAAAGGAGGACGTGTTTATTAGGGAACCACACCGAAAAGAGAGTCATCTCCATTACTCGTTTTCCTGGTATAATTATGATTTCAGTCCTCATACTCTTTAGATATTTGAAATTTAATCTGTTTACTTTTCTTAACAATAGAACTTAGATTTCATTAATAAAAATGATAGAAGGAATCAGAATTACAATGTATCCATATATAGAGAGAAAATCAAAGACAACAATAAAAATAATCATATAAAAACAAAACATTAAACCTAAAATACAAAGAAAAATGAAATCGAGAAAGGCAATCAACATCAAAAGAATCCGATAATTTTCATAAAAACTCTTTTATCACTATAGAATGAGACATTTTGTGAGGTGATAAAGGAGTAATGAGTTAATCAAACAATCTAACAGACAAATTCGTTACATAATTTAAAGATTTGTTCTATTTACTTTTAATTGTAGAGATTAATGCATTCAAATAATAATATAATAACATGTCAATAACACGCACAAATTTCACACAGCAGTAGAATCTTCTTCCTTTCTTCCAAAATGAAATTGTTTCCAATCAAATGCTCCGATCATAAGAGCATTCATTCCTACTCTCCAACATTTACAAGTTGAAGGTTTCGACCATTATAACTAACAATTATCGGTTTGGATGTCAGCCTCGTTTATGAGATTCTGGTAGTCATCGGGTGAACACAAAAATTATACTCCTAATCATGAATTTAGATACATATTACATTTATTTCCGTCACAATGTGTTTATCGCTATTGTGAATATAATAGATGATATTACGGTCCTTGTAAGTATCATGATTGTGAATTTTTAATAACATATGCTTTTGTGGATATCACGGTTTCTGCCGCCGCCGTTATCATTGAATAGCGATCATTGTGGTGATTATATATCACTATTAAATAATTGTTACTGATAACAAATGTTGAAAAAATAAATTTTAAGAGCAACTCCATAATAACAAATATTAAAAAAATAGATATTTAATAACAACTATTAAAAAAAATTTAAGAGTATTCTCATAATTACAAATATTGAAAAAATAAACCTCTAATAAAAAGTACCAAAACATTTGGACTCATGATAATAAATATATATTAGAAAAGAAATTAAATTTTAAAAGTACGTCCCAAAAACTAATATTGAAAAACTTGAGCCTCTGATAATAAGTATTGAGAAAATTAGGGATTTATTGACAAATGTTAGAAAAAAATGTTGGCAAAAGATTAGGCACTTATAAAAATATTAAAAAAATAAATTATAATAGTAGACCCATAATAATAAATATTATAAAAAAATTAAACTCATAATAATAAATATTGAGAAAAATAAAATTTTTAATGAAAAATATTAAAAATAATTAAATTATATAACTGATAAATACTATTTATAAGTATACATTATAAAAATTCCGAGTCATGGGTAGGTGCCCTCCTATAGACTCAAATACAGCCATGTTGGGTGTTGTGGACCTATGGTGGAGCTTGAGGGGCAATTGAGGCTGCTTCGACGACGGCGGCAGAAGTGGAGGCTTTAAATAAATGAAGTTTGGGTCGAAGCGCCATATGAGCGGAGGGCGGGAGTGAAAAAACCACCCAAATCGAATAAGTAAAATTTAGGATAAATGTATATATATATATTGTTTAGGGTAGATTTTTTTATTTATTAATTATGTATTATATTTTAAATATAAGTGTTTGTTTAATATTTTAATTCTTGATGTTCGACTAATATGTAGAATACCTCCAAAAATCTGGAGTGTCATTCCGAGGATTATTATAATAAAATTGATATTTTATTCGATATTTATTTATATTCTATGAATTTTTAAAAGTAAATAAGTTATGTTTCATTTTAAATAAATGTATTTTTATTTTTTCATATAGTAAAATTATTTTAATAAATATAAATATTCATTGTGTTATTTTATTTATTTTAATATTTATTTATCTTGTTTTATTTATTTGTCATAATATGTTTATATTTTATTCGCACTTTATATGTCATTTATTATTGTTATATTCCTAAATCATGCATTTATTTTTCTCATTTTTCAATTGATGTTGTCTTGCGTTATGGGTTAATGAAATTACGTCCAACATGATTAGATTTCAATTTTCGTTAATTCACATAGTAAGTGAACATTATTTTTAAATAAAACCGATTGAATTAAGTCATTTTTATCGAGTCAAATGTTTTAAAAAATTAAATTCACTCATTCTTTAAAAATCCATAGAAATAAAAATACCGTAATTTAAATTTATAAAATTACACTATTTAGACGACATTTAATCAAAGGTACCAATTTTGGGCACTATGGGAGTGCTCACCCTTCCTCATGCTTAATCGACTCCTGAATCCTTAAAACATAGTAAGAAAGTATAAAATATACACAACTCGTGTATCAAATAATTTTCCTTGAAACACTGAATTTAATTTTTTTTAAAAAATATTAAAATTCAAATTTAATGCAAAAACATAATAAGAATCAAGTTGAAAAAAGAATTACTGAGGGCCAAGTTTATCAGTATATCTAATTTTATTGCAAAGAAGTATTAGTTATTTTTTGTGATTTGAATTTGGATTCATTAGCTTGGCTTTTGTGTTTAAAACAAGAGGTATTGTTGATTTATGCAGGGGAATAAAAAGGAGAAAGTTATCCCCTGCCGTAGCCAAGGCCCAGGTGCAGCAAGGTTATGATAGAAGTGCTTGCATTGAATTTGATGATAAAGAGCCTAATTCAATTTCCACAATTACCTCCAAAATTAAAGTTTATGAGATAGCAGACGAAGAAGAGATTTCTTCCAAATCCCAAATTCACCATTCTCATCCTTTTAGGGGATTGCTCTTAATACAGGTTATAGATAACCATGTCTAAAAAACACTAAGGCAATTACGTAACAACCGATATTAAAACCGGTTTCTTTTTCGGTCCTATTTGTGAAGGGATCCGGTTCTCAGACCCAGATGCCTCTGCAGGTTCAACTGCCAACTAACTAAAGTCGGAATGATGAACGAAGACATAAAATTTAGAGAAATGTAGTTTGTCGTAAGATTCAAGACTGTAATTATGTGCCAAGTCAACAAGCATTTTAGTACCTTTAATCCGACCAATGATCTTTTTTTACACAAACGATCATACACAGAGAAATATCAACATGAATGTTAATAAAAGTCTTATCTCAGTTGAAAGATTGCAAAGTAGTCGCTGTCTAAGATCCCTGTTGCATACTCAAGGATCCTTTAGACCTGCATCAACCAAAAATTAAGAATTTCAACATTTAAGTTAAACCAAATGGGCAGAGCAGGCGAAAGAGGCTCTTTCTATCACCGCCTCTGAAATTCCACATAGGATTTTCAAGTAAAGATAACGCTTTGGAAGGATTTGGTCCTTAGTGCAAAAGCTTTCGAATTTAGAAGAGACAAACTTGTAGAATTATCACATAAATTCAATTCAATGAAATAACACACTAATAACTTCCTAAATAAACTACAATAATGCCAGCTAGGATTGAGAAAAAACAACTTTTATTACTTCCAACAGAGAAATCTCCTTAGCCTTAAAAAAGAGAAAGAAACCCTATGTAGCCATGCAATTTAAAACTTACACCGTGCCAAGAGAAGCTGAGATCTTGACATAAAAATGCATTTTGTGTACAAATCCAAGAGATTTTTGCAACTAAACTTTCAAGAGAACTGCTGCCAAACCAGAGTAGGCGGTTATTTGCGGCAAACCAAAGCTTAATTAAGGAAATTATATAATGAATGATATAAATCTAAATAACGTATGTTGACTGAACCACAGGTGACACCAATCCTGGGTTCAATCCTTGGACAACCTCTACCCCTTATAGAAAAATTAAAAAATCTAAATGAAATATATGGCTAACCTTTATGGCATGGGATATGAAAAGATGGATGTCTTAATCATTCTCTTCTATACCATAATCATACACAATCTCAATCTGCATCAAGAGTGAACAATCAGAAGTCAGAACCAGGTAAAAGCAACAAGATCGATCAAAACCGGATGAAAGCAACAAGGCCAATCAGAAATTTAGAAATAATAACTGTCAGAACACAAATGGTCTGGGTAAGAAACAAAACAAAACAACATAGTGTGGCATGTATTAGGAGTTTGCAAGCATATTACGAGACAAGAAGACTTTTCACTTCACCCAACCTTTCTCCAGCAAAAAAAATAAAATTGTAATGCTCGATCAAGATAAATATAAAACCTACCTAAGGGAAGGATATATAACCAAACTATCTGCTATAAAGTAGTAAAACAAGTCAAGAAAAAGGGCTCGAATTACTTTTTACTAGCTTTCTTCTTCTAATCTGCAGTATAATTTGTATAATGGATTGATAAACAATATGAATAGTGAATAACTATAGACAAGAGGCATTGACAGAATGCTTGAAATGCGAGAGAAAAAACAGTGCTTAGCAAGAAATGTTAGATAAACACTTACCCCAGAAGGCGGGACAGGATTTCGAGTAAACTTGGAACCGCCAGGGGCCCAAGGAACTGCAAATGAACTTAATATGTGAGCTTCAAACAGAATAATAGGTTTTAAACAGGAAACTAAGCACCAGATAAGAAAACTACCTATATTATATCACTGTCGATCAGTCATGTCATAAATCATAACAAAAAGCAAGACCTAATCAGCAATAACCAACTATTGGTGGAACAAACGCAAGAATGCATGTGGAAAAGATATTCCACTAAGAAATGAGAAGTGAATTGACATAGTAGAAGTGTGGTAGCATTTATCTTCACCTACTACACAATCAATTACACTGGCATCATCAAACTATCAGCATCTGAGAAGAAATTGAAATCCTACAATAACTAATTAGTAATTGATGAGATTTCATTCAACTTTCAAAATTTTGAGCTATTCTTCTCTTAATTGTTAGAAAATAAAATGATCAAATGAAAATAAAAAATTTGTTTAAAAATAGAAGAGTTCAATTAACATAGTAATGGCCTGGTGGACCAGACACAAGAATGTAATGACCAACTATTGGTGGACCAGAACCAGACACAAGAATGTAAGTGAAAAAACAATACAACAAAGCAAAGAGAGGTGAATTAGCACAATAATAGTTGGTAGCATCTCCAACTACTTCTGCAAATCTTGGCCCTCATTTGTCTATTTCAAAAAATTATTAGAATTTCACTCAGATCATCAAACCATCACCAGAAACTGAAACCCTATAGCAAATAATTATTTAGCAAAAAAGTTCCATTTCCCTTATCAAAATTTTGAGCTATTCACCTCTCAATTGTTTGAAAATAAAGGTTCAAAACAACTTAAAAATCCCTTCCACACAATAGTTATGGAGACTGGATATAAAATTCAAAATCCAATCCATATAACTCCCCCTTCATATACTAACCATGTCTCATAGACGTACCGATATAAGGATCAGGATGCCGCCACTTATCATAAGTTGCTTCACCTGAAGCTATCATTTTGTCAATTGTGTCAAGATCTTCCTGCAAAAACACACCACATTGTAAAATGCAAAGCCAAAAATTAAACCAATTAATTATTTAAACCATTCAACTACGATAATCACCATTTACAAAGTCCTTACTCCTTGATGGATTCAATGCAGAAGGTCAGTACACTCAAATTATCATCATAGAAAAAAAAATGGAATGTACGTCGCAAATCACGAAACGGTAAAAAGAATTTTAAGATTCAACAAATACTCGTTCAATATTGCTATAAAATCAATTTGAAGTGAACATGAGAAATGAGGACGAACCACATGCTTGTTGCTTCGAATTTCTCGCGAAGATCAGAGGCCTAAACATAGAAATGAAATGAAATGAATAAAATAAAATAAAATAGAGATTCAATTGAATTTAAAATAAGATTGAGAAATTTTGATTTTTGAGGAGTTACATCTTGATAGAAGAGGTGGCGATGGACAGCCCAGTTGAGGGTGTCTTTGAGGGCACGGCGGTAGAGGATCCGGACCCTCTCCTTTTGCGCTGCTCTTCGAGCTAAATACGCCGCCGTCGTGGCTCCGCTCATTTCGGTTGCTTTTTTTTTGCGTTCGGTTTCTCTTAGACTACACTCTTCTCTGGTCTATCTATGGCTTTTTACCCCACTCGGCTTCAGCGCAGATAGGGAAGCGTTAATTGATCCACGAGGGCACGGACCCGTAGCGTTGAAGATGAAACGACACCGTTTGTCATCTTTCAAACAGTTTTGACTTTCGGATATATTTCACATTTGGTACCGGTATTTTGATAAAATATCTAATGTGATATTTGTATTAATAAAATGTGTATAATATTTTATAAGATTTCCAATATATTATATTTATTTAATAAAATATTCAAATAGTATCTACATTTTGATAAAAAAAATCTAATGTAACACTTAAATTTTTAAAATGTCCAAAATGGTACTCATAATTTATTAAAATATTCAATATGATATTTAAACAATCATTTCTCATATTATTACGATACTTAGATCAACATCTTTAGTAGATATATTCAATAATTTTACCTAATATTATTAGTACGAGTCAAATGAGTTAATGAAAATTCAAAAATATCATAATAGAAGTTCGAATAATTGTATTTATAGAATGTTGTTAATAGATTAAGAAAGTTCTAAATAAATATTATATTGTAATCACACCAAAGTATTAAAAAAATATATATGGTTACTTTATTTTTACATTTAAAATGTACATATATTATATTATACCTTTTATAAATGTAATATCTCTATTGATAAGAAAACAATGATTTCATGATAAGTAATATTAGATCAATCATTTGATTATTCGATTTTACTTCTAGTGTATCGATACATGGAGTAGACATAATGAACAACTATGATGATGACATCACAAGATTGAATAAGAGGACTATCACATTTTTAGAGAGATAGTGGATAATATTCTTATATGGGTAAACTACTTCAAATATCAATTAACTTTAATTTCGGGTTCGTTTATGCCACTGAAGTTTTTATTTTGTCAATTTTAACACTAGCGTATGTTTAACTGCAGTTATGTCACTCTATCGTTAATCTATTAACGGCACGATGACATAACATCTCTGTTTCATGATGGTGATGATGTGGCTCTTTCACCAAAACAATGTCGTTTTAATGCAACTGTTTTAATGCTCAAAAAACCTAAAACAACGTTGTTTTATTATAGTCATTTGATGAAAAATTGTTTTCCACAAAATTTAAACTAAAGTTCTTCATGAACCAATATTAAACACCCAACCACAAAGCTAACTTAAAAATTTGTTATATTCTTAACAAAAACTAATATTTATCTTTAATAGTAGTCTAATACTTTCATCTTCCTCGTCAATTTAATATTTATCTTTAGTGATGTCAATCAACTGCTTGACGAAATGTCAAGCTCAGTGTTTTAAATATTTTTCTGCTGACAAATCACTATTGTTACAGCCAATGCACAGAGTAACAATGCTGGGGCTTTAGTTCCTGGGAAACCCATAATCTCAATGCCTGCAACCAACCTGAATATCGGGATGGACCTACGGAGTGGATCCCCTGCGGCCACAGGAGCTGCGAAAATGAGATCCAACTCTTATGGTTCTGTAGCCACAGTTTCTACCGGAGTTGTGATGCCCGAGCGATAGATTCAAGTAGGAGTTTTATGCTGCTATTTTTGTTTCTTATTTTACATGTTCATTACCATTTGCTTCATTTGTGATCCAATATTTTGTCCAAGTTGTTAAAATTCGCCTTAGTCCTTTAAGGTCAAACTTTATTTGCACTCTTTTAATTAACAAAATCGGCACTGTGGGTTCTTTCAGGATGAACGTGAGTTTAAAAGACAAAAGAGGAAGCTATCTAATCGAGAGTTGGTTAAAAGATCAAGATTACGCAAGCAGAGTTAATTGGAAACCTACAACAGCCAATGCAGGAACATTCTTTTAACCATAGATTCGGCTGGGTGTTAACCTGGAAGCCAAATCAATAATCTTGAACTTGAAATTTCGTCAAACAGTTAGTTGGTATCACTGAACCATCTATGAATTAGGATTGATGAGGAAGATGAAAATATGCAACTACTAGTAAACATATATATTAATTTTGTTAAGAATATAACTAGTTCTTAAGTTAGTTTTGTAATTGGGTGTTTATCATTGGTTCATGAAGAACTTTGGTTTGAATTCCATGGAAAATAATTTTTCATCAAATGGCTCTAATAAAACGACGTCGTTTTGGGTGAGGGAAGCATATCATCACCGTCACGACACAGAGATGTCATGTCATCGTGCCATTAATGGATTAACGGTAGAGTGACATAGTTACAATTAAACATAAACGTCAGCATTAAAATTGACAAAATTAAAATATAAGTGACATAAACAAGCTCAAAGGTAAGTGGGTTTTTAAGTGGTTTACTCTCCTTGTATTGAAAAGAAAAAGAAATTTAAAAGCCATAACATTATACATCATATAAGATAAGTTTTTCGAGGGGAAAAAAATAATGACCCTATATTATCCCATTTTTCAAAAGTTTATAAAATAATTTAACTGAACGAAAATAAATTTAAAAAGATAAAAGGATATTAGAGGTCCCTATACTTTAAAAATTTAATATGACCATCGTATTATTTTTCTCTTAATGTGGTCTTCCAACTCAGAAAACAAATATAATGTGACCCTTTGATCAATATTTTTCGTCGTTGACTATTACGGTGCTTATGTGACAGTTCACTATGTTGACATGACAGTTCACTATGTTGACATGACAGTCCACTATGTCGACATGACAGTCCACAATACTGACGTAACAATCAATCTACCATATTTGAGTTACAAATTTAACTCATATATCATGTCATTCACCATGTTATCAAAATCATGGACTGGTACATCAATACTGTGGACTGTCACGTCAATACAATGAACTATCACATCAACACCGTAACAGTCAACAACGAAAAACGTTGGTTAAATGATTACATTGAGTCTATTTTTTAAGTTGGAGACTACATTGAAAGAAAAAAAAAATATAAGAGTCACATTGATTTTTTTTTAAAGTACTTAGACCTCTGATGCATTTTTACTATCTAAAAATGATACACAAGTTATTTTGAAGGGATATGTATGACAGGAATACACGAATTTCCTACTCGTTCGTTCATTAATTGGGACGCTGTATAGCAAAACCAGTAGGCCATATTTCCAAATCCGTGTCACCTAAATATTAATCCAAAGAAATACGCCCAAAACCCGAATCAACCACGGCCAATTTCATCAAGCCAGTTTTTGGCACAAGATTTACATTCATTACATCATTCTATCTGATGCATCATGGCATATGGCTTTCAAGAAATTACCTCTACGGCGGTTCATACAAGGTATCCCATCCTGTTTTTCAAACTAAAGTATCTCCGTCTAGACTGCGGTGGAGTAAAGCTAAGCCCGAACATTTCCTTGAGGGCACGTCCCTGCTCTACGAACCTGATCAGCTTCACGACAATGCCGGCACTCTCTGTGACGTGATTCATATTCTTGTCATTGCTCCACAGCTGATTCACAAGCTGCAGCTTTCTCTGTTGCGAGTTCAATTTAATGCCCCACTTCTGATATAGGTCCTTTATTTCTTCTTTGGAAAACCTTTTCCGCATCAGTTTGGCCAAGGTCTGCCTCTCACGCCGGAGAGCTCTCTTACTGTTGACAAATTAACATATTAGAAGAGAGTAAACATGATACAGTATGTGTTACCAAAAAGAAGCTTCAAACTAGTGATAAAAACTACAATGAGAACCAAGGCACAAGTCACGGATATGCCGTTCAAAGACCATTAGACAATCAGTGGTTGCAAGAGAGAGAACCTCGAAGCCAGTGTGAGAGAGCGACCACCTTCTACAGCTTGATTTCCTTGAGAAAATGTTTCCTCGAGGAAGGTAAGTCTCCTAAGCTCCACCTCCATGTAAATTGAATCAGTTCGATCACCTTTAAATAGGAGGAAGAAATATGTTCTGTGAACCAAGGAAACATGGCAAGCTTGCCAAAGTTCGACTATGGCTCTCTGCAGCCTGTCAAATTCCAGTGGCCAATCCACAGGAGTACCCGGTGCTTCATGCATTGGATCCAGCCCTCTTCCAGATTCACCTGCTTCTAGGCCAGTGCCCTGAACCTATGAAGAAAGTACCACACATTTGCGAAGAAATCAAATGAGACATGCCCGAGTGCATATATTGAAGTTTCCACCAACAGGGGGGAAAAGATAGCCATATTCTCACCTGACCATTGGCAAGTTGTTTCTTCAGTCCAGCAACAAAACTATGGATGCTAGGAATTTTTTCATCGGCAGAAGTTAGGATTGAAGCACTCCCAAGGGAAGACAGAGAATCATTCCTGGAGTGCATCCCACTATGGGCACCATAATTTAATGAAGGAATTTTCATTTTGTAACCGTCTGGTCTTCCAGGAAAGCTTTTCTCGAACCCATTAGGCGGGGTGCTTTCTATATTTTTTCTGTCTATATATGGAGAAGATGTAACACTCATGACATCTGCCCCACAACTCCAACCCCTACTAAACGTTGGGCTCTCTTGAATGTGATTCATTTCTCTGTCTCCAGTCATACGGGTAGACATTGTTTCCTGGCCAGCCACATCCACATATCCATTTAATGTCAGTGCCAATTGTCCTTCACTAACACCATTTGGTATGGCACAAGCTTCGGAATCATTATTTCCCCTTCCTGTTCCATCTGTATCAATACATTGAACCTCCTTGCAGTTTTCATCAGTCATGGAATGATCTTCATGATTGTTCAAAGGCTCGTGATGACACCTCCTCTCTCTGTCATAATTATGGACTGGATTAAATTTTATAATACGCTTATCAAATTGATTAGAATCAGCCAAACACGATGACTCTGTTTCTGAATAGCCATCTTCCCATGTATCCCCTGCTCGTTTATTATGGTAATCGATTCTTGCCTGTTCAGAGACAGGGAAAGAATTTTAACCAATCATTAAAGAATTAAAATCAAATGAATAATTATTTCAAAAAGAAATAGTGAATAATATTGCAACTAGGCACCATATTCATTGAAAAGCATAACAAGTAAAAATATTATAGGCAATTAACACAAACCGATTGTCCTGAATCTTGATCGTTTCCAATCATCCCTAGCAGATCCTTGAACCGGGATCGAGCAAGATCACGTTGCTTAGTCAGCTCTCTAACTTCCTTCTCCAGCTGAATAGAGCAAATTCATGTAATAAATGTTAGGCAACATGTCAAATGCAAATTCTTAAGCTTTCCCTTCTATATTTTACATCAGACACCGCCCCATGTTTAGGCTTTTTAATCAGAAAAAAAAAGTTGGCTAGCAGCCTAATTTTCCAAAAGAAAAAGTATCTGTGTACTATACTAAAATTTCAGCTAACACGTCATGCATGATTCACCGACATATTTTTGTTCACTAGTTATCATGCTAGACAAGATAAAGAAACGTAGTTGAATATGCTGTGTAAATTTTCTATACTATAAAAAGTCAATTTTGTTCATTAAAGACCCCTTGACATCCTTTCTAAATTTCCCAAAGGGGACGGTTACCTTTTCGATTTGAAGATCTTTCTTTCTCAGTAAAGCTGCTGCATAGTCATTGTTTGAGGAAGGGGTCACAGGACTCCTGAGTTCACTTTCTAACCTGGCCAACTCTCTCTGTAAATGCTTAACTAAGGCCTTATCAGACATGACCACATTGACCTGAGCTTTTGTAGCAACTTCTTTTGCATGACAAGCAAACAGAAGAGTGTTCCTGGTTTGTTCAACATGGCTTCGTGCAGGGCTCAAAGTACATATGATTGCAGTCCTGGCATTGCCACCCAAACAAGGCTGCAGTATGCGTGTCAGCTTAGAATCCCTGTAATTGATATGTCCTTGTCTGCCTTTACTGCATCCACCATAGCACCACATATATGAGTTGAGCAATCTAGTAGTTGACAATAGTTTAGCAAGACATTGCTTTTTTCTACAATAAAATATTCTGTATTTGAACACATTATTATCATAATTATTACTAAAAATCCAACTGGATTGAAGGAACAAACACTAAAAAATATGGTAAACAGTGAATTAAATATTAGTGCTATCGAGAAGAGTCGGATCTGAATCTAATTAAGCAAACCATCATAAAACTATGCCTCAAATTCTTTGTTTCAATCTAAATTGAAAAGTCACAACTAAAGGAAACAAATAAGATCTCAATTGACCTCACGGTAACAAAATAACTACATAAATAACCAGACAACTATGCTTAAAGAAGTTAGACATTAATTAATCTCTTGTAGGTTATTGAAATGAAACAAGAGACTCTAATATAGGAAAAGTCCAAACAACCTTAGCTTGCGAACAACAGTTGACAGGGTCAGTAAACTACGATTTATATGGCAACCCTCTTTCAGTCTTGTCCCGGTGGATAAGGTCTGAGATGCTCGCTCACTTCCAGCCAAATCAATAAAATTCTGCGACCAAATACCATTTTTTTGTCACTATATCTTATTCTTTTCATTTGAGAACTAGAGAACTGCAAACGTGAAAGTAAATTCCAAGAGCTATACCACACTAGCTGCCAAGGTTGTTGAATTTTCTTTTCCTAGGAACTCCCGAGCAGAGCTTTCAATTGTCTACAAAAGTTAACACGCACACCATAGTAAGATAAAAGGGAAAGGAAAATTTTAGCATCACTACACAAGTTGTCAGAAATTTAATGTCCAAGCAATGTAAAACGAAGGGGCAAAGAAGATTACCAATCTTATAATTTGATGAGATCGGGAGCTTCTCTCATTCAAGGAAGTCTCTCCTATCCTTCTTTGAGCTGCAACAGTTCAATGCAATAAAAATTAATTATAAGACGTAAAGGTGCAAATGCGCAACATCATTCAGTAAATAAAGAACTCTTTAAAATGCTTTACCTTCACAAATTGCAATGAGTTCTTTCAAATGGTTCAAGTCCTTCAGAGATTCCTCTGTAACTTTTTCCACAATAGTTCCTCTCTGAAAAAAGAACTTAGAGCAATCATAAACTCAAGGAAATGAAACTAATATTCTAATATGGATGTTGATATTCACCTCAGGATCATCACGCAGCCTAAGTTGAGTGTTGTCTGAGTTTAGAAGGTCTCTAATAACTTCATTATATATCTCAACTGCTGAGAACTTCAAAACAAATGCTCTCTCTTCATGCTGCAATGATGATATTGGTACTATGTAAAAAAACAGTTTTAAACAATAACTATGAGAAAATGCAACATGGTGGTACAAAAATGAGTTAAACTTTCATTACTCTGTTTATGTAGTCAAATATATCTGCAACAGCATACTCAGTTATTCCATCCATCGTGTATGTCTTCCCACTGCTAGTTTGTCCATATGCAAAAATACTAGCTGGGGAACAGAAGGAAATTTGTTAGAGAAAACTTCTTACTCACCAAGAACTTTATAAACAGAGAATGAATGCTGAGATGCCACATGTCCCTACTTACAATTAATACCGTTAACAACTGAAAGAGCAATCTCCTTGGCTCCTTCCTGATACACTTGCTTCGTTGAGCAGTCACCCCGAAATACTCTATCTGTCCCCACAAAAAAAAGGAAGAAAAAAAAGTACAATCTATTGATCTAAACCGATTGTCAATCCCAAGTACATAACAGATATATTCCACTTTTGGTGCTTTTAAACTAGATTTTAAACTTAAGCCAACAATGCATCTTTCCTTCATTAAACTGGCCTAGGTTCAATTAGCCAGTCATATTACAGGAAAATTTTAGTATCATTTAACTATACCATAGTAAAAAAATGCCAACTTAAGCAGATATTGAGATCTGGTTCTCACTAGTTTAATGCAAAAAAATTAGTTAGACCACAACCAAGAAATGGAGGAGGGAGTTTGCTTACCGAATGTATAGGCAGACGGCAACGTGGATCCTTCCCGGAGGGGGTTCCGGTATAGGATGGTATTGTCATTGATGCACTCCCAGTCGGCAACTTCATTTGCTACAATTTCCTTGTCACTCAAAGGCCTCAGCCTCACCAACACTAGAATCCTCTCCTCGCAAGCAGCTGGCATTTGCGCCTTATGTTCCTTCTCCAGCTTTAACTCTACTCCACCAATTGCCCCCATTTTTCACGCCCCTCTTTCACAGTTACTAGCCCTACCGCACATTTATATATAAAAAGACTCCATGAACATGCAGATTCTCAAAAAGAGGAAAATGAAAAGCAAACTCAAAGTGGTCAATACGCAAGCTCACTGTTGCTTTCCTGAAAATGAAAGCTAGTTTGTTGTGGTAGCCAAACAAATATTAAACTTAGGTCAATGCTTTCACAACTGTAATCGATCTGCAACAAGAAGCTAATCATAATTACCAATCCAACTAATTAAAGAAAATGATCCATGATCATGAATATAAAAAATTAATCACGGGATTATAACAGTAACAACGAGTAAATCATAAGGTTTTATCCAACCAATCTGAAAACGATCTCATTTTATTTTATTTTTACAGTTAACATCAACTAAAGGAACACTTGAAAAATGGAAATAAAAAAACAAATGTCAATCAATCTGGTAGTTAAAATGAAAAACTCCCTCCCTAATCTTCAACCCGACCCCCCCCCCAAAAAAAGCAATAATATTAATAACTTTTAAAAAATTAAAATAAAAACACGAAAATGTTGATTTTTAATTATTGCAGAGCAGAAATTTTCCCATGGTGGTACCGAATAATGTTTAACTTTATACTCATGAGTGATTACAAAAATTTGATTCATTTTCTCATTTCTGTTTCCTTTTATACCTGTAAAAGAAGGACGGTGGTTCAGTTAAAAGAACTGACGACGGTATAAACTTTAGTACCAAAACAATGTCGTTTTCCCTCCATTATTCTCTGATCTAAACCCGTTAACCATACTCTTCCTGTCTTCCACCTCGAAACTCGAGCTCTGCAAAAAAAAAAAAAAAACTAGACGGAATAAAATCTACAAAAAATGCATAAAAACAACAGAGTTTGAATCCAAAAAAAACATGATAAAATAGAGCATTTCAACGTAAGACTCCAAATTTTCTGGATTATTGACACGTTTGGTACCGAGTAACCCAAAATTTCAAACGGATAATTTCTCAGATCAAAAACATAAAAACAAAACACTCCCACGTACATAAACAAAAACAAAATCCATTTTTCAATATGTGACAAATTAAATAAATTGTAATTCCTCGTTTAATTTAAAGCTTTTCAATGAAATGAAAGTTACTAAGAACTTCATCGACGAAGAAGAATAGAAGAGATACCTGACAGGAAGAGCGGAAAACAGAGGCAAAACTAAGAAAAACCAAAGGTGCCTATTACTTTAATAAAGCTGAATGCGAGGGACAAAATCGAGTATGTGAATTTAAACAAACTGTTAAAATTGAGAAAGAAAAATAAGATCTAATTATGCTTTCGGTCCTTATACTTTTATATCTCTTGAAATTTGGTCTCTTTACTTTTATTTCAAATATTTTTCTAATTATGAACATATATTATCCTATAATTATCATAGACTATTAAAAAATTAATAATCTAAATATATTTACACTTATACCATAATTAATTTTAATATAAAATCCAATCCAGCTGATGCTATTTTTTTTTTATAATGGGAAGAGGAAGGGTTATGACCTAAGACCTTTTTTGTAATTGCACCACAAATTTAATTGATTATTCATTTACTTATTTGATTTATCAATTAAATTATAATTGATATCTATGCTAAATTTGAATTTGTATTATGAATTAGATTTTAAATATTAAAACAGACATTTATATATTAGTATGTACTTCATTCTATTCTTTATTAAAAAAAATTATATTTTTAAGATAAACATTAAAATTTAAATAAAAAAACAAGTATCATTGGTCATTCGATGGATTAGTGGACCTCTCTAATGTAATGAAATAATATTAATAATGCTATCAATTAAAATTTAATGAAATAACATTAAGATGTAAATAAGTATGAGCTTTATATTATAAACACTTATGTATTTTTTTATAATATCTATATTTAATATCATAATTTATAGTTTAATGAAATCGATTTATATATATTTATTTAAAATTTTCTTAATTGATTGGTAACATATATATTTTATGGATTTAATAATTCGAACTCATAACTCCTAGAAGAAACAATAGAATAGTTTTTTTTATTAATGAATCACTTTAGGAGTTTTGTATATTAATTTGATGGGAACAGTTAAAAAAACCGGCGATTACTTGAAAAGTATAAGAACAGTGTCTGGAGCGGTTCTTTTAGCTTTAGGAGTAAGATTGTAAATGAGACGAGACAGATCGTGAGTTACTCGAGATCGACGCGATCAAGGTTCGATAAATACTCAGATCGAATGGATTTGACTCGAGCTCGTACTCGACTCAAGTTATTAACGAGCCGAATGAGCTACTCGATATTCGACTCGAAAAGTTCGTGAGCAGCTTGAAAATATAATGTATTAAGATTTTATTTTATTTTAAAAATAAATTATTAATAATATTAATATTTATGTATTGATTTTTTTTAAAATACAGTAAGATTTCATCTATTTAAAGTTTACGTTCGAGTTTGAGATTTCAATTGAGTTAAGTTTAAGAATTTTTTTTTCATTTCGAGCCTTTTCGAGCTGCTCATGAGATTCAGTTCAAGATTTCAAGTTCGATTCGAGTTTGAAAGTTTTAAACTCGTGAATTTTTAAATTGAGTCGAACTTTATTTTAGAGTTTTCGAGTTGAGTCGAGCTCAGCAATACTCAAACTCGACTCGTTTAGACCCTTATTTGGGAGATCCAAAACGGGACCGCAAATACGCCGCCGCGTCAACGTCCTTTGAAGCTTCTTCTCTTGGCTTTGGGGCTGGCCATTTGGCTCTTTTGGGTAATTCAATTACGATTATACCCTTGCTTCTTTTTACGCGGGTTTCTGAAAGGGGAAGGCACGTGGTCATTATGTATTTGTCAGATCATTACCGTTTCGATCGGCGTTTTTATTACCGTTAGATTGTTGAAAATATTAACATTATTTTTTATTTTGTTTTTTCCTTTCGAGGAATTCCAAATTTCCAGTTTATGTTTTTGGATATTAATTTTTTAATAATATCAACGAGTTATATATATATATATATATATATATATATAAACAATATCAACGAGTTAAATTAATACACGTTATAACGGAAAATCAATACGTTTAAGAGTATTAATATTTAAATGATTTTATATTTTCCATTGTCAATGATAGTATCAGCTTTGGATTAGTACTTGATCATCTTTTTATTTTATTATTTTTTGCATTTTAATTTAATTTTTATTCTATTTTTATATTTTACATCTTCAACTCATGTTATTTTATTTAATTTATTTAATTTTTTCGTATGAAGATAATAAATGATTTTGTCTATTTTTTTAATATATTATTTTTTACTCTTATAATACAACTTATATTTTCTCATATTTTGATTTGATTCGATTATTCACTTGATGTTTACATTTTCAACTCGTAAATTGGTTATATTTTATTAATAGGTGCTCATAATAACAAAAAATATAGGTCACGATTGAATGGTAATAAAATCAACTTGTTAACAACACGAACTAAGTTACCTTGGTGATTAAATGATGGTTGTTATCCTTAGATGACATGAGTTCGATCACCAACGATTACATGATATTTGAGCGTTCATTATCAAATGATTAAGAGACTCTAAAACAAATACTACTACTTGTAATACCCTAAATTAATAAAAAAAAATAAGTTTGTTAACATGTTATTAATGTTATATGTAATTTATATTAATATTGACGGTGTTTATACTACAAAAAGTATATTTATATATATAAAAGTTGATTGAGTATATTTTTAATACAAGATAAATAATTGGTTACTTTATTTTAGTTTACTGTGATTTTTTGACTTGCTTATAATTTTGTTGTATTTTTTATTTAATAAAAAATATATTTTTCATTATTTTTAAAGTTTTATTTAGAAAATGACACACTATGTGATTGACAAACGTTTAATTTGTCAAATAAAATAATTTTTATTTCTAAAATAAATAAATAAATAAAAGTACTTTAGAGAAGTATGATCAATCCACATAGACTAAGAAGTTTGATAATGTCGTTTCCTGAATTGAATAAACTGTAAAAATATAAAAGAGGAGATTCTAGTAATAATAAAAGTGACAAGGTAAAAACAAATTATAAACTAAAATAACGAAAGGTGAATAAAAGAAATCAAATAAAGGTAAAAAAATTCAATAATGATGAGTAACCTTAGGTTTTACTTAGACTCAATTTTGATCGATCACCGAAATAGATTTTCTCTTATGGATGCACGTCTGTTAGAGGCAACAAGACCCAATCCTTGTAGCTAACCTTTCTCTTTAATTAATTGATATTTTCAAGTATATCTTCGAAATCCAGTTCTTGTTGGACTAACCACATCTATCTCTTTTAGCATCAAGATAACTTTAAATGCTGAAAAAGCCCAACTCGGATTATAACGCCTCACCGAGAATCAAATCCGATCTTGATTCTCCTTAGCGGATCACCGTTAAGTTTGTTCATAGGAAATTGAATTACGACCAACCAATTAATCTTCTCATTTGTAAATCAAAACAACCTTCAAATCAATGCCAACTTTTTGATATGAAGGTGAAGTAACTTTAAAGAAATGATCCATTGTCAATCCTACTTTTTAGAGAATTGAAGAACGTACCCAATGTTATTAAATGCTACTCAATTTTCACGAATTAGATTGAGCTTCGTAAAACCTTTAGCTAAGAATGGATTGGATCATGATCATGCTTAGCATTTTGTTGTGAAGAAGTAAAATAAAGAAGATGGTAAAAGAAAAAGAAAAATTAGAACTTCAAATTAAACCAAAGAAATTACAAATTTTAATCTCAATTCAAAGCTTGAATCCAATGTGTATTTATAATCCAAGAGTTTTTAATAAATAAATAACTAATTTCTAAATAAAAGATAATGATAAAGATAAAATAATTAAACTTAAAATGCTAAATTTAAAAATAAAGGTTTATCACAAAAGACAGATAAAATATTTAAGTCTTGTGGTTGAATTCTACTTTATCTTTTGGATAATCCTATCTCTAGGTATTTATCTTTAAGATAATTCTAAAATTAAATATTCAAGATAATTTCACTCGTCTTCTAGAAGTTGCTGACTGGATCGCCTTCTAGAAGTTACTGACTAGATCGTTGAAGTCTTTCATGTCGAAAAATGCCATATCCCAGATCTTGCTCATGACTACAGCCATGATTCTAGAAAAATTACAAATTCTGCCTTTTCACTATTAATTCTGACCGATTAATCCAACTGGATTTTTTTCATGAAAATAAGAAAAATAATAATAATAATAATAATAAATCAATAATATTCAATTGAAAATGATCAGTAAATAACAATAAATGTATGCAATATTCAACACTTATTAAATTCTCCCTCACTTATTCAATGCTTGTCCTCAAGCATACTTCAATTCAACATACTAAGTTTTTCATTTACCTTCCATCATCTCTCTTCACATCTCAAAATACCAATAAAGTTAAGGCCATATCAAATATTCGTACCAAAATAACGATCAAGTGGAAAAACATAAATATGATAAATTTTTGGCAAAATCAGAACATCTCATTAATCCAGTAATTTCAAATGCAACAAGACTCAACATCTTTATGGATTCACTTAATACTCTCAAAGTGTTTAGGGTACAATCAACTCTCAAAGTTAGAATATAACACAATATTATCACATGATTGTAAGTGAATCAAATCGTCACCATTGTATATGAACATGATGCAATAGTCAAAGTGTCTTTTAAGAGTTATAATGGGGTTTAGGTAAGGGTATGGTAAAAGGAAAAATTATAGGCTTCAAATAGTCAAGATAAGAGATTCTCATAAGATCAAATTCATAAATCAATATTAAAAAAACTCAATCTATAGAAGAATTTTAACTTCCAACCAACAAACTTACCCATTTTCTTCACATTTTTCTTCTTCTTTTTTTTGTGTTTTTTTTCGAGCACCTATTTTTTTCTTTTTTTCTTTTTGATTAAATAACTTATTCTCTTGTCTCGACAAAGGTAGTAAAATAGGAACATAATCAAAGTCTTCGAGTTTAAAGTGTAGTAAAACAAAGGAAAAGGGAAAATGACTTAAAGTGGCCAAGGGAAAACACATGAGTAGGAATTTTTTGAAGGCATGTATAAAAAATGAGTAAATCCTAGATGCATCTATCATTTCATAGCATCAAATCCAAACCGTAATCTCAACATGTATTCACAAACAAGTTCTAGAATATATATGCTAAATT